GCCCGGCCGTGCGTGTGGCTGGTGGTAGCGTTGCCCTGTGAGGGGCGGAGCGGGGCCTTTCCCAGCCCCTCCAGGCTGGCTCTCTGTGAGCAGGTGTGAGGCAGCAGGGGGTTACAGCGTAGGTTGGGGAGGAGGGAGGGAGCCTTTCTGTTACCTGGTGTCTAGGGGAGAAATCTCTGGGGTAACAATCATCCAAACACACGAGAACAGGGCATCGGAACAGGAAGCAGGTTGAGAACAGGACGTGGATTTGTTTTTTTTCTTTTCTTGTCCTCTCCTTTCCCCCTCTTCCCTTGCTCTTGTCTCCAGTTTTTGCCCTCGCATGGAGCTTTAGCCTGTCACTAAGCTGTAAGTAGACCAAGGAGGAAGAGTGAAGGACATGTGGGGAGAAATGCCAAACATAAAAGGACTGTACTTCCCACAGAGTACAGAAACTGTATTTTACTGCAAAGAAGACTACTTTTATGAGGATGAGCTGTATAGCATCTGAAGCTGCATAGCATCTGGTTTTGAAATACAAACAGGTGAAAGCATTTGGAAGGCTGGTGGGTTATTTTTGTCTGCTGGGTCCTAATTACGTATATAAAAGTACAGAACTTGAGTATGCCAAGAAAGGCCCATGTTGCGGTAGGTAAAGTACGTATTAAAGCCGAGACCTTTACATTTTTGTAGTCTGAGGCTTTCTACTGAAACAGGATGGAAGTAGTGCAGGAGTTCAGGTCTGTCTGCGGAGAGCTTGTCGCAAGCTCTAGGTAAATGGGAGGTGGATGGAAAAGCACAGTTCGTTCTGGTGTACATTTAAGTGAAAGCAATGAAACTGGGAGCTGTTGCTTTTGTATTAATTGTACTGCTCTGTTTGGCATAGGAAAAGGAAACTTTAAAATCACAGATTTTTTTTTTTTTTTTTTTTACACTTTTCATTACTGATTCCCTTAAGCACAATATATTGATTGTTGTTCTTAGGAGGACCTTCGTGTAGATGGTCGTGGCTGTGAAGACTACAGATGTGCAGAAGTAGAAACAGATGTTGTATCAAACACAAGTGGATCTGCAAGAGTAAAGCTGGTTGGTAAATTTCTTGGGGATCACGTACTTTGCTGATGACACCTGGTTTATGTGACTAGTTTTAAGATAAGCTGAGGCTATTTGTAGATGGGTTTGTGTGTGTAATAAAATGTGTGTGTATATATAGGACTATCTGAAACTATGGGCTAAGGAAATAATGGCAGGATACGTAATTCATTCAGGCTGACTTAACTTACTTGAACTAGCTTTACTGTGAAGTACCTGAAAAGTCTTCAGTCTGAACTAATCTACCATTTAATCTTAAAAAAAAAAAAAAAAAAAAAAAATATTGCTGTTATGCCTAATCACTGGAAAAAATAATTCTGTTCCTTTGGAATGAAGCAAAACTACTTCTGCATGTGTTGATTGTGGAGAAGTTAAATATATGGTGCAATGTTATAAAGGTTCTGCAGATATAGCTGTTTCCAGAACCCAAATGATAGAAAAAGTCATGGATATGAAGAGAGAGTGTCTTTTTAACCTAGAGAAAGTTAATATGTAAGATAATCATTTGAGGTAACATCTTAGGCTTAACATTGTTTTTCTAAAGCCTTTCCTTTTTTAAAAAAAACTAATGTGATTTTAAGTTCACTCTGATAGAATGATGGGTGCAGATAACTGAGCGGTAGAAGTGTCAGCTTAACATAGACATTTAAATTAAACAAGCAGTTTTGTGAATATCATTCTAGTTGTGTGCTATGTTTTTGTTTTAACAGGGACACACCGATATCTTGGTAGGTGTAAAAGCTGAAATGGGGACACCAAAACTGGAGAAACCAGATGAAGGTTACCTGGAATTCTTTGTTGACTGGTTAGTATACTAGAAGAGAAGGAAATAGATTTAATATTTGGAATAAATGACTAATCAGATCTTACCATTCTTCTGAAGTTTATACCTTCATTCCACTAGTCTCCTGTGGGGGTCTGAATAATAGAAACAGGTTATTCTACTGTTTCAATAGTGGTGAATGTTCACAAACTTTCTC